GAGACCCCCCCCCCCCCCCCCCCCATGACGTACATAAAACTGATGAATAACCTAAATTAAAAATTGATACAGTCTGTGCGCTGCGCCACTGGCAATGAATGAAAGCAACAAAAAAAATACATATTGGAAAGCAGTTCTCAAGACCTCAATGCTAAGATGTAGGGCAGCAGGCCCCAAGGTTTTTTGTGCTGTGGACCATTTTCACGTTGGCTTTTTTTGGGGGCGCGGCAGGGTGAGCGACTGGTTAGGACGTCTGCCACACAGTGCAGAGGTTCAGGTTTCGATTTCGGCTCTGGTCTTTCTGTGTGGAGTTTGCATTTTCTCCCCTGTGTGGGTTTTCTCCGGGTACTCCGGTTCCTCCCACATTCCAAAAACATGCATGGCAGGTTGATTGGGCACTCCAAATTGTCCCTAGGTGTGATTGTGAGCGCAAATGTTAGTTTGTCTATGTCTGCCCTGCGATTGGCTGGCAACCAATTCAGGGTGTCCCCTGCCTACTGCCTGAAGACAGCTGGGATAGGCTCCAGAACGCCCGCGACCCTTGTGAGCATAAGTGGATTAGCAAAGGGATGGATGGACTTTTTTTTGAGGGACTGGCATTGAAAAAAATTAATGATAAAATATATAACTCATCATTAAACTGAATTTAGCTGATGGGAGCCCTGTGCTGGTTTCCCTACAATGAGCCGGTTTGGCCTTGAGGAATTTCTTTCTCTCCCCCACCTTCAGAATTATTTTGTGGGCAAAATGGTAAATTCTCAGTGTCACTGTGTTGGCTATATTTGATGTGTTCTTACTGGCTTACTTCTCATCTCCTGGCAAGTTCTGACATTCCGTGTTTACTCGGTCGATTCTCAAAAAAAAGAGCAAAACTGTTGATATGAGAATCAGAGCCTCCAAATTGCAGTCGATGGTACTCAGTCCCAAAATGTGAAATGACATCCTGTGTCCCAAATGGGAGTGTTCTGCATCGAGGGTTTTCAAAATGTCCTGGTTGATCATGAGTATGGGATGGATGGCGTCTCATAGACAAATTGTTTCGTATGATGATGTAACCAAACAATAATTTTGTTCCACGATAAGGACGTTCAAATTCTGTCAAATTTCAAAATCATGTCAAATCGTGAGATAATTTTGGAGGTGGACTTTGTCTGCATCAGACGTGGGTGATAGTAATTGCACATTAATCTGATGGCAGTGGACTGAACCCTAATGTGGTCTGACACTGCAATATTCACATACGTCGTAGTTTCTGGGGTACTCTAATCTGCTGTGAAATAGCACCGATACTCAAAGTTTATTAGAACGACAGAGAAGAAATGAACATCATCTGGAGCTTGTTAGCTTCAAATTTCAGTCTGTTTTTCATGTGGTGCTGCACCTCAGGATTCGGTTAACACAAGATTAGCTGCATAAGGATGTTATTCATCGCCAAGTGTTCCAGATCCAGCATCCACTGGCGACTGAAACAAGATGTTCACAATCTTTCATTCATTGGACAAAAATCCACTAACTATAGACGAGCGCACAAAGATCATTGATTGTTGGAAAGATAATTGAATCTAAAATGTCTTGAATAAATTGTGAAGAGGTCAGGAACAGGTTGTGTGTCTCCAACTGAGACATGATGTGGAGGGTGGGGGTAGGGGAGGGGGGGTTAGATTTACATAATAGATTATGCAACACTTCTCTATTGTATATAAATTCTTGGCTGCACACATGGAAAAGTTTTCAAAGACTTCATAATTTTCTCCAGTCGCATGTTGTCGATTCGCATACTTCCATTCTTCCATGGGTACGAGTGTCCCAAGAGAGGAGGAAGTGCGGCTGACCTCAATTTGACAGTTTGTTTAATTTTGTTCATGTCCTGAACCAAGCAGTGACCACTCTGGCGATCATCCACCAAAAATATAAATGTATATATAATGTGTATATATACACACACACAAAATATTTTGATAGACAATAACTGATATATGCATGTATAAGTGTGTATTTTTTAATATACATATGTATATGGGTATGCGTACCGTATTTTCCGCACTATAAGGTTCTTCGGGGTAGAAGGCGCACCTTCAATGAATGGCCTATTTTAAATCTGTTTTCATATATAAGGTGCACGGCGTTATAAGGCGCGTAAATTAGAAGCTACAATAGTGACTGCAGTTGCGTTATGCATCCACTAGATGGGGTTACGCTAAAGGGAATACAATAGAATACAGCTTTATTTATATAGTGCTTTCATAACCTCTGCAGCATAACAAAGCACTTTACAAAAGATTTAAAATACCACGTCCAAGAAATCTGAATATTGATCCATATATAAGGCGTATCGGATTAAAAGGCGCACTGTCAGCTTTTGAAAAAATTGAATGCTTTTAGGCGCGCCTTATAGTGCGGAAAATACGGTACATACATTTATGTACATACATCCAGTATGTTTGTCATATACGCGCAGTATTTTAAGATGATTTTTATTTATACACTATATCCGTAAATTCTTTATTCCTTTACATCATCTATTAATCATCTTTTTTTGCTGTTTAGCTGACGATACTTGCTCTATCGATATTTGCATCTCCACAGCTATTGGTCGCCAAGTCACCCGTGGCTCCCTTTGCTGTGCTGAACTACACAATCAAGAAGGAAGGAATCTGTATGGATGGTGAGTAAGTGTTTGGCTTATTTGAAATAAAGCAAGCAATTTCACAAATAGAGAAATAAAAATGGAATGCAACTTTAATTGTTAGATATAATCACGATGTCAAGGTGATAGTCGGTTTCTTCCAAAGTGCACAAAATAAACAATACAGTCTGACAAATCCAAACGCATCACATACTGTGTCCATTCGTTTTTTTCTTTGGTTGAATTATAATCTCATTTTGAACACTTCACTTAATCTTTCCAACAACCCACAGCGGTCGTTTTGAAGACTTTTAAAATTTTTTTTATAAAGTTAGTGGGAGTTAGTGGCCTTGAATGTAATGTTTTCGCTTGTCTATGCCAACACTTGGTGTATTTAAAAAAAAAAAAAAAATTTAAAATGTCAACTGAAACTTTAAAAGTATTGTTTTACTTGAGTTCGTCTTTTTAGCTTGTTCTCTTAACGGACCGAAATATACTTCGCTTATGCACTAGTCATCGATGATGTAGCTGTATAATCCGGTTAAAAAATTCCAATGTGGCGATGACGGCCAGTCAAACAGATGTAGGATAAATCAGCTACGGAGAACAGATAAGGAGCAAGAAATAGTTAAGTGCGGATAAGAATAAATTCCCGTATATTCCGGATTATAAATCGCTCCGGAGTATAGGTCGCACCAGCCATAAAATCCATGATGAAGAAGAAAAAAAAACAACAAAAAAAAGTCGCACTGATGTATAAGACGCATTTTGGGGGGAAATTTATTTGATAAAATCCAACAGTGTACTACATGCTAACGTTACATGACGCATAAGCAACGAACTGAGAACGTGCATGTTCACGTAGCATATTCAGTTATTCAGATAACTCTCGCAGAAAGAACATGCGAACAAGTTTACCAAACCATCACTGTCACTCCAAATCACTAAATCAAAAGAAATAACTCCGCCATCTGCAGAGGTAGAAGATGCAGCGCTTCCTCATCTACGTCACTTACGTCAGACTCACCGTTGACTTATCAACACAGGCCTAGAGCGCCCTCTTGCGGTTTAATGTGAAAATAATGTGAACTGATATAATCATTTCAAAAAAATTTCACACATTTCACACAAGTCGCTCCACCGGCCAAACTATGGATAAAAAACTGCGACTTATAGTCCGGAAAATACGGTAAAAGTGACGCATAACCACTACACTGGAATGCAATCGGAGGACATTGTTCAACACTGCGCGAAACCTGGCTTCAATCCACAATCCGTATTGCAGACAAAGCCCTCTCTGTTCAAGGTTTGCCACCCTCTTTGTATTTCCCCATCACTGAATCATTCTCCGTCTTTTTTTTTTTGCACTTCATATTCTCGACCCGTCACCCTCAATGCATCTTTTTTTTTCTTTTTTTTGGATTAAACATTATTTAATTAGGAAGTCTTATTGGTCCATTATCCATTTCGGTGGAGAGACAGAGCAGTGGACTCTCAGGTTGGAGTTGTAGGGATTGAGACATGGGTGTTCAGATGAGTGTCGAGATTATTTTGTCATGTTTTTCGTCCTCCAAAAATGGATGTTTTCCACATAGTCCACATGTGCATTTTGTTATGACCCATCTGCAAGGTGGTGTCATCACCACGTTGTAATTCTGTGGCTGGAATTTGGTAATTGGAGCAGCCAAACCACATCAACCTTGTGTGTTCCGTTGGTGCGTGAGGATTAAGCTAACGGGACATAAAGAAAAAACCCAGCGGGCTCTGATGAGGTCAAAACTCAATGCTTCGGAGGGTGTGACAGCGCTTGAGTGGTGATAAGGCTTTTTCCCGGGACATGGATGATTTGGAAAGAAGAGTGAAGCAACCTCAGTTTGAATCTTAAGATTACGGTGGAAGGTCATCCAAGGATCTTGCGCTCAGAAGGGGGACCAGGGGTTTGTGGTCTGTTACCAGTGTGAACTGTAGTCCCATGAGGTAGGATGAAAGTCTGTCGTACGCCCACGTGACAGTGAGCGTCTGTCAGTGTCCGTCCGTCCTCTTGAGATGTAGGTCACAGGCCGCGACCTGTCGTCTGACAGTTTTTATGTGAGTACGGCTCCAATGCCGATACCATCTGGTGACGCGTCTGCAAAAACTCTTGCTGTGTTTGGAATATTGAACGAGCACCTCAGGAGCACTTCGTATCTCCTTTTGTTTCTGGAACGCCGTTTTTTTGTGGATCGGCTCGTAGCCATTCATTTCTTTCCTTTCCGCACTAAAAGGCGCACCTAAAAGTCTTCCATTTTCTTAAAAGCTCACAGCGCGCCTTAAAATCCGATGCGCCTTGTGTATGGTCATTACGGTAGTTTGTCAATTAGGGTGTAGTGTCGTGTAATGTAGAGTTCTGCTGGCATTTCCTTGAGCGTAGCCCCATCTAGTGGATGCAATGTAGATTGCGTCTTGTAATGCGGTGCGCCCAATGTATGAAAAAAATTACAAAATAGGCCATTCATTGAAAGTGCGCCTCATAATCCAGTGCGCCTTTTAGTGTGGAAAATACGGTCATGAGGAAAAAAAACGATTCTGAAAGGAAATTGAAATGATTTGTCTTTTTTTTTTTTTTTTTTTTAAATTATCTTCATTGTTTTTCTCCTTCTACTGGCATATGGAGCAAAACAAAAACACTTCAGCTTGACGTTTGAAAGTCTCTATTGTTTAAAAGTATTTCGGCTTTATTCACTTTATCTTGATTTCCTCCAGGGTCAACACAGGACACAAAAAAGGGCATTTTTAGAACGGTCACAGTTACCAAAAATAATCCGTCGACAACTATCGTGATTAATTTGTTCATTTCTTCTTTGTTCCCAAGTCTCGACTGCAGTCAACTCCTACGCAGTGACGGTTCGGCAGTTGCGAATTCACTCTTAGGCTGATTAAAAAAAAAAAAAAAAATCAGCAGATATCCACGCCTACTCTCGATTTTCAATAACAAGGCAAAAAAAAAAGTCCGAAAACTATTTTCGATGACAGGTCCCTTTTTTGGGGGGGGACTGGAGTACCTGCCCCCCCAAAAATGTCTGTGCATCTGCATTTGTGAAAATTGGCATTACAGCCTAAACGTGGACTCGTCTGAGCCTGCTTCCTGCGTGTCCTCGGCAGTGTTTCTGATGGCTGATATTGGTTCTCTCTGCGTTTTAGAAAACGACGACGAGGAGAGATTTTATGAGGGCACTGATCCGAGTCTCCAGTCTATCGGGGTGAGAACTGCGATTGGCCTCGATACAACCTAAATGGATGCGCCAAAATGCAGTGAAAGTCATCACTCTTTTCATCATCGTCATCATCACAGTGACTCTTGTGAAATTATGCACACATGGAAAAAAGCCAGAAAAATACACATTTGGGTGCCAATTTCTTTTCTAGTCCCATTTGAAAGTTTTTTTTGTATTGCTGTTTTATTTTTGGACCTATTTTTTTGTTTTAAATTTCGGGGTCGCCGTCCCAAAATGTTTCATCGATACACATTTGGGTGCCAATTTCTTTTCTAGTCCCAAGTTTTTTTTTGTATTGCTTTTTTATTTCTGGACCTATTTTTTCTTTTAAATTTCGGGGTCGCCATCCCAAAATGTTTCATTATCGAGTCATTTGATTTCCCTCCTGACCAAACTCTAAAACTTGTTCATGTGTAAAAGTACACTGAGAGAAGGTGATACTGTATATAATAAAAACTGAATCTTGTACCAACAGTGGCATCACAGTGACACCAGAGTTTAAGATACTAGTTGTAGCTTGCTGCAAGCATTATAAAGCTTACGGACTTGGAACATTTGTTGTTTATTTTTTTTAATAAAACCTCAAAAAGTGCTGCATGTCTATGTATCCACTTTTTTATCTCACCAATTAAATTTGCTCGTCTCAAATCTCAACTCCACTTTATTTATAGAGCAAAATCAATGCTGAAGATGAGTTTGAAAAATGGACAGAGAGAGAAAGAGATTTTTCCAAAGCAGTCCAATGTATTTAAGAGCCTCTGCAAGATAACCAGGATTATTTTTCCTGCTACCGTCATTTCCACAGGTACAGTAATCAATATTTTTTTTCCCCTTAAAAATTCTTTTACAAAATAATTCCAATTTGGGCACGTTACAATTTGTGCTAAAATTCTCTCTCTCTCTCTCTCTCTCTCTCTCTCTCTCTCTCTCTCTCTCTCTCTCTCTCACACACACACACACACACACACGCACACACACACAAAACAAAAGTCACCAGTGAGTTTTTCAAAGGGTGACGTGTGGAGGCTTCGAGGTTCATGTCGAGTAATGGGAGGGGCGTTCCCACGAAGGTTTGGCGGGCATTGCAAATACAGTACAGACGATGGTATAAAGCGTCCGCAAAAACGCAGTGGTGATCGCTGGTCATCTCACATTTTGTGGATTCCGGTGATGCTGAGGCATTACTGAGCCCCGCATGACAGCAAGGAGACTCGTGAAACCGGACCAATCTTACGTTAGCAAAATTAAACGGTGTAACATATAATGCAAATGAGTTGGCCAGCACTGTAAAGCTCGGTCAAGAAGTCGAGACAAGATGGAACGACATGTCTTGAATATGCCCTGTGAAAGAATATTTTCTAAAAAGAAACCGTTCAAAGCCAAACACTCTGGGAAAGCTGTTACTTCTAAATAAAAATGACAAACAAATTATCCTCATAGCACTTGTTGCATTTTGTTCATAGAGTCACACAAGCACATTCATATCATTTTCTGAAACAAACAGCCAAAGAATTCTCAACACTGTTGACCTTTTGGGCTTCTAGACCACTTGATGGCACCATTGAGAAAATGAAGCACCATGAAGCTTTGAACCATGTGCAAATCATTTGGTTGCAAAGCTTCATTGCTTCATGAAGCTTCATTTGGCCGTCACTCGTGCCAATGTTCAGGCCAATCTAGTGTCCCTTTAATTTCGAGCTCCATCTTGCAGGCATCTTAATTTTCCTGTTAACTCCTGACAGTGGAGCCATCGGCGAGCGCCACAAGCTCCATTTACCTGCCACCTGATTAGAAGAACCTGTGGCTAATGCCAAACCGTGGCAGGGTTTTTACTTTCTGGACCTGGATTTGAAACCTCTGGTGAGCACAAAATCCAGTCCGTGACACAGGAAGTGTCACGATATCACTAACTTGCTAAATCCAAAAGTGTCTAAGTAGTTCACATGCACTCAAGCTCGAGTTGCATGTTTCCATCCACGTCCTGCCAAATTGTTTCGAGTTGTAAACTTTGGTGCCAAAAACAAGTCAGGACAGGAATTTGGCCAAGCATTTGATACCTGCCACACGGTAAACATTGAAATTCCACATCCAGCTCTCGTCGTTTTTGTCTTTCCAGCTCTTGTGTTGAATTTCCTCTCTGGCTCCACGACGATGACTCAGCACAAGAGCCACTGCGAGTGTACACAGGTTCCACTTCGATGCATTTCTCACCAATCTGGTTTGCACAATCGAAGTGCACGCTGAATAAAATGTTCTGCCCCTTTAATTGCAGCCTGCAACCACAAAAACAGGTTTCAAAACTTTGCACGTGTTTGTTTGTTTTTTTGTGCAACTGTGACTGATACACCTTATGAACTCAAATGGCATTACAGTAATTACTGCACCTTGTGGTTTTGTTTATTGTTGTAGTGGAACCATCATTTGATTCTCCAAGAAAGAGGATGGTGTTGTTCTTTATGACATTTAACTCGAATATATTGAGGCCAGGCGGCCCGGTAGTCCAGTGGTTAGCGCGTCGACTTCACAGTGCAGAGGTGCCGGGTTCGAATCCAGCTCCGGCCTCCTTGTGTGGAGTTTGCATGTTCTCCCCGGGCCTGCGTGGGTTTTCTCCGGGTACTCCGGTTTCCTCCCACATTCCAAAAACATGCGTGGTAGGCTGATTGAACACTCTAAATTGTCCCTAGGTGTGAATGTGGGCGTGGATGGTTGTTCGTCTCTGTGTGCCCTGCGATTGGCTGGCAACCAATTCAGGGTGTCCCCCGCCTACTGCCCGAAGACGGCTGGGATAGGCTCCAGCACCCCCCGCGACCCTAGTAGGGATCGAGCGGTTCGGAAAATGAATGAATGAATGAATATTGAGGCCACTTGGCGGTAGGGCAGCCACAGCGTTCTGTTTGCTTCCGGATTTTGGCTGCATTTTCGTTTGTATTTGTGGATGTGAGTCTAAGCGACACCCCGCTTGTGAACAATAGAGGAACAATGCCTGCCAGCTTGGTCCCTGAATTTCTGGACCGATGATATTCTAAATTTAGCACCGAGTCAATGGATGCATCCAAGCTGGGAGGGGTGAGGGGGGGGGGGACTACAGGTGGAGGAAAATGAGGACATCGGGCTGCCCTTCCTGCCGTCTGTTTTTCTAATGTGTGCTCTCTCTGCAACAAAATAAGTTTACCGTGACAGACCGATAACGATTCAAGAAGAATGTGGTTGTTACTTTTACTGAGACTTGAGGTTTCCATACGACATAAACATCGCAGTCCCTTGCTGAAGTTTATTGCCGTAAACTACAAGCCCTTTCATGCACCCGGGGAGTTTACTTTGATTATATTTGCATGTGTCTACGTCTAGCCCGAAGTTAACACCAAAGGAGTCGCTTGTCTTAACAGCTGAATACAAACATTGAGAATAAGCGGCCAAAATCATTGCGTTTCGCTCTGGGCGAATTTCAACTCATGCGGTTTGAAGCATGATTTACCTAAATAGAAACAAATAGTCAGCTGTCGCACTCTGGGGGGAAAAAGTATATCAGATTGTTTTTCCTCTCTCCATAAAGCAGCATTTTGTTGTCTTTGTCGTACCGCCCTCGGAAATTCGGACCATTATTTAACTCAGATGGGCCCATTTGACAATTAAAAACGTAACGCAGCCACAGCCAGTCTCCAAAAATGTGGAAAGCAGAAGCAAATCTCACCTGCCACTTGCACTGTGCAAGCTAGCTAGCTAGCACCGGTTTTTACTGACATTTTTAACAAATTTATTTTTAAAAAATTTTTTTTTTTATTCTTACTTGTTCCAAGTCATCCCTCACTCAACAGTCGACATGAAATACCCTAAGTGGCTTGTGCCGTCCTATCTCAATCCATTCCGGTTAGCATGCAAAGATAACTGCTCACTGGATGATGCAGTGAATCAAAGTCTTCATTTTGCTCCAAACCACAGTAGAGTAATAGTTTTGTGGATTTCACTGCCACTTTTAATACAATCCTGCCAAGCGGCTCAAAAACAGTTTAGTTCTCCTCTATCTAATCCATAGTACACCAACCTGGGGCTCCTCAGGGATGCGTGCTATCACCATTTTTTTTCCTACTTTCCAGATACAAAAGACTGCATTTCCAACACCACCACCATCAAATTGTTTACGTTTGCGGATGACGTCACCTTCGTCGGTTGCATCACGGATAATGAGGAATCTGCCTACAGAGAGGAAGTGTCCCTTCTAGCTGTTTGGTACTCTGCAAACAACTGTGGAAGCTCAATCCGCAGAAGACAGTGGGAATGGTCAAACACTTTTAAAGACTGCATTTCCAACACCACCACCATCAAATTGATTACGTTTGCAGATGAAGTGTCCCTCTAGCTGCTTGGTACTATGCAAACAACTGGAAGCTCAATCCGCAGAAAACAGTGGGAATGGTCAAACACTTTTGGTGACAGAAAGTAGAATGCATTTTCATTTTCGTGCCGGGGCATGTCTAGTTTTGCATTTTGATGTATTTGGTAGACTGTCCGGTTGTCACACTCGGTATTTAGGTATATAAAACTTGGTTGTGGTTATGGAAGGGAGCTGTGGAGAGAGGAAGATGATCAGCTGCTCATGGTCAGGACAAAGCATTAAGTCACCAGGCTCAGATCATTAACAGGCTCCGACAGGCTGTTGCCATGGGAACCATTCCCATGACTTCAGTTCCCATGGTGGGGGTGAGGGTGGGGGGGATCCTCCAGGGTTTTTCAATTAGGTAACAATGGTGTCATTTGTGGCTCTTCCTTCTTGTTTGTCTGACGAGCGGGCACAAACTGTTGGACGCCCGTGCGCTTTTCGCACAAGGATCTTGTGTTATTTACCTCATTCAAATAAAAATAGCTATTATTCTCGATATACCTTTGAATTATGCAGTTATTTCTTTGGCCGTTTTCAAGCTGCAGGCAGAAGCTTGTCTCAGCTATGTAGGGGCAGGGGCAGGGGGGGGGCTTAACTCGACCAAAGTACTTATTTCAGACCCGTCACTTAGCTCAGAGCTGAACCTGTTTGCACGGCAGCACTGTTAATTAAGCAGTAATATAGGCATCTTCTCGCAAAATTCAGTTTCATTTTTCAATAAAACTCACTGTTGTTGTTGTTATACGATTGTTGCGGCTCCGAAACAAAGAGAGCTGTCGTG